CAATTCTTCTAATATAATACTCCCTCCGTAACATATATATGTTCCCATTTGAAAAGTAGGTAGATTAAGAATAGTGAATGTGAATATAAATTATTGAGGGTATGATGGGAAGATAGTGAAATAATGTGTTGGAATGAATGATAAATCCAAAAAAAGTAGGTGTAATAGTGTATTATTTTTATAATAATTGAGGGTATGATTGGAAGATTATGAAATGGGAAGATATGAATGTTACATCCAAAAAAAGAAAGTGAGAAGATATAAATGTTACGGAGGGAGTACTCTGTATGTATATGCAGAACAATTTTCAAGATGGAAAAGTGATGTAAATTAGCAATTTCAATAGAGGATAAGAATGGTGAAATCGTGTCAAATAAATTAACAACACTTCACAATAAATTGAAAAGTTCATTTAGGGAAGTAGGTTTCAAATACGAAGTTTTCAATAACAAAGGTTCAGCACTATCCATTTTAATATATTAAACTCTACTGTTTTGGCCTTTTAAAATTATATATTTATTTAAAAATACTTGGTATAATGTTAACAGAAACATGATTCAAATATCACAGCCCAACTTTATTAATTAAGAAATCTTTCAATTCTCATCATCCAAAATACAAATTCATTTTTATTTAGGGTTTAAACGAAGGTATTATATCACAAAATAAATACATACCTAAAATTTAACAATTGTTTGCATTTAAAACCATATAGATATACTCCCTCCGTCCCCTTTTAAAAGTCCAGGAAGAGGGTGGCACGAGTTTTAAGAAAAGTGGGTTTTTGTGGTTGATATTAATTGACAAAGTAGGAATAAAGTAAGAATAAAGTAAGAATGATTTTGAGCCACACAAACTTTACCAAATGAGGTATGAGACATTTAAATAGGGACATCCCAATATGATAAAATGGGACATTTAATTGGGGACGGAGGGAGTACATCATTTTCACACATTTAGATTATTCATAGATTTGAGAAGATTTATAAGCAACAAATATAGGTCAAGTAAAGTAACCAAATAGGTTAAAGAGGGGTTTTGTTGAAATAATACAGATTTAGTCTACAACATAAATCTGTTAAAATGCATTTTTATAGATACACTGTATGCAACTATACATGTAAATGGTCACAATCACATATGCATGCACTCGCAAACCGATACAGAAATTGGAATACATAACCTTTCAACAAAACCCACTTAAACAACAGAGATGAAGGGGATATACCAAAATCATAAACAGATGGCAAACATGGTCTAAAATCCTTGAATTTAGCTCATCCACCGAACAATAGCATCGACTTAAGAATTCAAATGGATGAGGGACACTAATTGATGACTGGAGGACCAAGTTCTGGAAGAGTGTATTTCTTGGATAAACAAAACAAATGTTTGAGAGAAAAGGGGGGCATGTTAGGTTTGAAGGTGATTACGGACCGTTGGTCAAAAAGAGCTGGCGGGCCGATGGTCCAAAGGTGATGATGGAATTGGATAGGGTGTGATAGCTCATAGCTTACCTCGACGCTCTACAAGGTTCCCGAGAGGAAATGACGAAACAGAACATATTTTTTACAGGTGTTTCCAAACAGGACATCTGTGATTTTTTTGACAAAGAAATGCAAAACGGAGTACGTAACTCCGAAACTAAAAAGTGGTCAGAGCGCATCAGACCATTATTTGTTTTTGGATTTGCCAGTTCCGAATGCAGAGGATTAGATTTCCGGCCATTGCGATTGGTTGGCTGCATTTCAGCGGATAATTTTTTCTTGTTATTAATTAACCTTCCCCATCTGCCTCCTCCCATACCTTCAAGCACTCCTCTCAACCCCTCTATTGAAAGGTTAGTAACTCAATATTCCTCCTCCTCCTCCTCCTCCTCCTCCTCCTCCTCATCATCATCATCATCATCATCATCATCATCATCATTATTATTGTTGTTGTTGTTATTGTTAGATACAATTTGTATTATTAATGTGTGCATATATTTATTTATGACTTAAAATATTACCAAGTAAATTGTAGGTAATAAGTGTAGTAATCTTTTCTTATTATTATATTAGTAATAATAATTGTAGAAAGCAGGTTTAATATTTCTATAAAAGTAGGTGAATAGAAAAAATGACATACAACGTATTACTTAATGGTCTTAGAAATTATTACAGAGTATTTGTTATGTAGTACTCTGTAGTAGTTAACCCTTCCTTATCAAAATAAGTGTCTTACTTCCATTTTAGGTGTATTACTTACTACAAATTTACTAATTATAGTTAAGACTTTGTATTAGTCGTAGACGCAATATTTGTAAATATTTATTACAATGCATTGTTATTGATACTTTTAATCATCTTTTCCGGGTTCACATTATTTAATGGGTACAGTTTTATAATTTGAATTACGTTCCAAAAATTATTTTGTTAATGTAAATGTAACAAATTTTTTACTATTTTATGCTCAAAACATTTAATGGGTCACTTTTGTAAAACGTGTGCTAATTTATTATAATGGGTCAAATTTTTGTAAAACGCATGTTTTTATTTAAATCGGGAGTCAGACGCAAATTCAACTTAAAATACAAATATTGTATGATTTTTAATTATGTTGAACAAAATATGATTTATAACAACAATTATAAAACAAACTTCAAAAAACAAAAATAAACACAACTAACAATCCGTATTAAAGGCAACAAAAAAGTACTCCTATTATATATACTTTACTAATTGGGATCTGCCAACTCCGAAAATGGTCTGCCACCATAATTTTCGGAGTCCATTTCCGAGCTTGGTAACTCCAAAAACGAGTTTCGTACTGACAAGATAAATTCGGACCTGCCTGTAACGCCCCTCTCAGGGTTAAAGAAACGTTACACTAACGTACTACTTAAGAAAATAATTGCCATATAATGGCCGTCTATTTAAGAAAATAACCCTGATAAAATCTCAAAAGTTACTAAAACAACTCCAAATAAAAACTTAATAAAATATAGTTATCACCAGCAAATGTGATAACCACCTGGATCCAGGAATTTATTCAAACTTAAAATTCTCGTATAAAATAGAGTAATAATGATCTCTTTATCATATCAACTCAAATACCACTACAAAAAAAACACAGAGTTAGTCACGGATTTAGTCACGGACCATAGTTTAAAAAATCCGTGACTAACTATCTTAGTCACGGACTTTTTCCGTGACACAAAGAAGTTAGTCACGGACCTTATTTATCCGTGACTAACTTCTTTTAAGGCTTTGAAAAGTTAGTCACGGACCTTATCCGTGACACAATTGTGACCGGAATAACCACGCCGGCGACTTAGTCACGGCCTTTATCCGTGACTAATATTAGTCACGGACCAATCCGTGACTAACTTTTCAAATTTCAAAAATAAACTGCCAAAATTCAGGGTGTTAATTTTCAAAATTCAAAATTTAGTCACGGATTCTATCCGTGACTAATGTTTTTTTTTTTTTTTTTACATTTCAAAAAATAATTTAAAACAATCCGGTCTACAATTTAGTCACGGCTTAGGATCCGTGACTACATTTTTTTATTTTTTTAAAAAAAAAATTTTTAAACATTGAAAATATTTTTCAAATTTTCTCCAGAAAAGTTTATTTTAAAAAAATAGTTGTAGAATAAAAGTTTATTTCTATGATAATATCATACTACAATTATAATATAAATTAATAATGTTCAATAAACACACTACAATTAAAATATAAATAAACAATGTTCAAATAAAGTTTACAAGCTCCTACGGCCACCATTATGATAATATCTAGTATCATCATAAAGATAAGAGGTATTTACCTAAATAGGACTAAATAAATCTTTAATTGTCAAAATAGGAGTAAAGTTTAAAATTTCCCCAAATAGGACTTATTTTTTGTAGTTGGACAGATATAGCCCTAAGCTTGCCCAAACTTACTGCTACCGACATATGCTAGACTGCCGCCAGTCGCCGGTCTCCGGTCACCGCCGGCCACCTCCGCCGCAACACAACTGGTCGCCTCCACAGATCTGGCAGTTGTCCTTAGAGACCTGGTTGTTGCCGCCGTAGATCTAGCTAGATCCAGATCTGGCCGCCGCCGGCCCCTGGCACTGCATATTTGACAGCCACCACTTAGATCTGAGCTCCATAGTTGCAGATCCAGACTCCGTCAATGTACATCTGACCGACCCCGCTGTTTATATCAATATTTTCATAAGAATGCCAACATGAATTGTGAATGCCATATGAATGGCATTTTGAGAGGAAAATATGGAATTTTTGAAGTGTAAGAATGCCATTTTATTGGCATTTTCGGATTAAATTTGGAATTTTTTAACAACCAAATAAGAATCAAGAGCTCTGAGCTCTTGTCTTGCCACGAAAGATAAAACACAACAGAGACGGAAAGTTTGAACAAAAGAGGGACGAAAAAGATGAAACAAAAGAGAGATACCTCACTGTCGGCCATGGATTTTCGATTGCCACCGTCGTCCATGACTTGCCGTCCGAGTCCGTTGAGCACTTACTCCGTATAAGCTGATGCAAAGTAATTAAAAAACGAGTTGATAAGGATGTGATTTGGGGAAATGAGTGGAGTGAAGTAGCGAAAAGTCTGGTAAATGGGGGTTTGGGATATTAAGTTGAGCGAACCATTATTAAGGGTAAACTAGGAATAAAATTGAAAATTAGTCCGATATAGGAACAGGAACAAAAGCAGTCCTATGTCGGCATATGCGGTCTTCTTTACTCCCATGTACGACCATTTTGACTAAAGATAATCTTCTTCGGTCTCACCTTCTTCTCGGTTGCCTTTACCTTGGCCTTCTCGGTTGCCATCGCGACTGCCACTTCCGCGACTTCCTCCTCCGCGACTACCTCCTCCTTGGCTGCCTCCAGGTGTTTGAAACAGGTTATGAAAATTGATATCCTGAAAAGAACCAAATGAAGGCAACCCGGAAGCAGAGTTGGAACGGAAATAACCGCCCATCTGCGGAACCTGAGGAGTCTGCTCGGGGTGCAGTATGTATGGCTGAGGCTGAGGCTGATTCCGAATTCCGGCGCTGAGGATCCGTTCCATCGCTTCCAGCCGGGCTCTTGTTTCTTCGTCCTTTTTGCGCTCCTCCTCCAATTCCCGCTGCAGTTGAGCGATACGTGGATCCTCTCCGCGCCTTGATCGAGAAGATGAAGCGCCGCTGCGGTCGTACAAAATCCGTTGCCCCTCGGCCCCCATGTAGGGAACCCGGCCCTTGTACACCCCAGCTGCCTCAACAATGGCTTCACCTTCCACATCAGAATCAATCTCATCCTCCTGAGTCAGGCCTAATTCCGCCCGCTTCTTCTCAACATTTGTGTGATACTTCGTCTACATGTACAAAAATTGTTAATTTAATTATACTCAATTCGATTTTCAATGGTACCAAGTAACAAAATAGATGTTACTTACTTCGATTTCAGCAAGGCGGGGTGGAAGATCGGCTTCCGACTCATCGCCGTGCTTTGTCCAGCAGTGCTTAATGACCTTGAGAATTGAGACCTTCTTCTTCTTAGGCCCCGCCTATATAGTTTGAAAAAAAGGCTTAAGATCCATAAATAAATGTAAAAATGAAGGGTTGTAACAGTATAAGGATTTTTGAATAAGACTTACAAGATCTTCTTTACGTTTACTTTGAGGTTTGCGGCCTCATGCCATTGGGTTTCCAAGGCCTTCTCGGACATCCGGTTTTTCTTACCGGATTCACTTCTTGCCAAGAAGTTCGGATCAGAAGACCAGTGACGGACGAGGTTAGCCCACACCTCATCCGAACACCATCCAGGCTTTACCCCGCTCGTTCGGGCACGCCTAAAAGTAGGACGAAGCCAATTTGAAATCTTGGCGTTATACGCTTTAAGAATAGCAGGACCTTGGGCTTCAGTCCATCGAAACCGGCCCTTTATAAAAAACAAATAAATTAATTTATCTTTTATCAAATGTTACGTTAATACAGTTTAGACGGAGAAAATTCATTTTTTTACCTTGAACAGGTTCCACCAAAGTTCACGAACCTTGGGGTCAACTTCCGTGTATGTTAGGTTGCCCAGTTACCAAGAAAGTGTCCTCCAATTATCAGTTTGATTTGGTCCAACACATCTTGATCGCTTCAAAAAATTAATAATATTTATTTATAAAAGTTTTGATTACATTATGTAAAAATTGAAAAAAATTATTTGATGTTAGATAAAATTCATATTTACTTACTTTGCAACCATGTGAGGCGTCACCCAAAGCGCATTTTCATTGTTGCGCTCAGCTTCTGTTAAGGGCACATAGTTTCGACGGGCACGCAAGGTGGATTGTTCATTGCTCATCTAAAATATATTATTTTATATTTTTAAATGTTAGTGTAATTATAATAGAAGATAAGATTTTTGTAGAAGTTTTATTAATTGAAAATGTGTATAACATATTAAACTGTGTAGAAGTCTAATATGAGAAGTCGATATTTTTTCAATTAATTTTTTTGTAACTTTGATAAATACATTTTTGAATTGATTAGTCTTTAAGGTAACATATTAAACTGTGTATAAGTCTAATATGAGGGGTCAATATATTTTAAATTAATTTTTTATAACTTTGATACAATACATTTTTCCTTTGATTAGCCTTTAAGGTAACATGTTAAACTTTTGCAAGTTTACATGAGGGGACGTATATACTTTATATAAGGAAATTATAAAAATCATTTTACTACAATAAAAAATAGTTCGACTTATCAAAAACAGTTTTATCTAAAAAAAGTTATCTAAAAACAGTTTTATTTTTTTTAGATCTAAAAACAGTTTTATAAAAAAACAGTTTTGTAAAAACTGTTTTATAAAAACAGTTTTATATAGAAAAGGTTTATAGAAACAGTTTTATGAAAAACAGTTTTATAAAAACAGTTTTATATAAAAGAGTTTTATAAAAACGGTTTTATATAAAAACAGTTTTATATAAAAAAAGTTTTATATAAAAAAAGTTATATATAACAGTTTTATAAAAACAGTTTTATAAAAACAGTTTTATATAAAAGAGTTTAATAAAAACCTGTTTTATACTTATTAAACTCTGTTTTAAGGAAAAATGGTGTATGAATTAATTAGTTTTATTGTTTTTTATAAAAATCAGTTTAATAGTCTACTTTTTTTTAGAAAAATCAGTTTTATAGATTTTGGTATAAAAACAGTGTTATAAAAATCAGTCTAATTTTTTTGTTTTGCTTAATTATTCAAAACAGTTTATAAATTTATTTCGAAAAACAGTTTAATATTTGACTGTTAATTTCGAAACACAGTTTAATATTTTGAAAAATAGTTTAATATTTATATGTTGATTTCGATAACAGTTTTTTTATTATTTGAAATAGTTTGTTTATTATTTCAAGTTTAACATGAAGGGGGTAATTTTTTTTAAATAATTTGAGAGAATAATTTTTTGATAGATTAAACGTAATAGGACTTAAGAGCATGCGTTATTCAAGAAATAAGTCCAAACATATACTAATTATAATCCCTAATAATTACATCTAACAAATTTCATGATATGCATTCGAACAAAAATTCAACAAATAGAGCATGCATTACCCAAAAAATAAGTCTGAAATAAAAAGAGCATACATACGCATTCGAATAAAAAAAATTACATATAACAAGTAGAGCATGCATGATTCAACTAATTTAGCAGTTAAAGTATGCATTTGAGTATATACATCATACATTTGGATATATTAAAAATAAATCCGAATTATTTAAAAATTTAACATGCATTATTAAAGAGAGAGTAATTAATTTAACATGCATCATTTAAAAACAGATCCGAATTATTTAACGATGCAACATTCATTATTTAAAAATAGATTCAACTAGTTTGAGTATTCAACATTGATACACATGTAATTTCCGTGTTTATGTTTGCATTTTTAGTTACTTTTTGTTGTTTAGCATCTCGGAAATTACACACTTTCGGTGTAATAGTTTAGTTTGTTAAAATCTTGTAAATTGTTTAGATTAGGTTTATTCTGAGCTCAAACAGGTCTACCATCACTCAAAGGACAGTTGGTGAACCCCAAAAGTGGAAGGATGGTGCAAAATCACAAGACAAAAAAGGAAATCCTGATTTTTGTCTATACTCGGTCGAGTATCTCTTATACTCGATCGAGTATCTGGTTGAAATTTCAAATCGGACCGGATCCGAAAACAAAGGAACATGCAGAAGAAGATTTCCCCACGATCGAATGTCTATACCCGATCGGGTACACCGACATACTCGATCGGGTATAGCTAAAAATTATACTCTGAATTCGGTCGAGTATGGATCGAATTCGAATTTCTACACATACTCGATCGAGTATCTGTATATACTCGATCGAGTACCCGGCCTGCACCTCAAAAAGCCTATAAATACACCTCCTTTCCTTCACTTTTAGACACCAATTCTTTTCTACTCTTAAACTCAGTTTAGAATAGCATTTCTCTATATTTCTTTTAGCATGTTTAGTCTCCAAATGAGGAGCTAAACTTCCATTTCTTGGTTTTGCTCTTGAAGCTTGTTGATTATTAAAGTTGTGAGTTATTTCCTTACTTTCTCCTCTTGATTATTAATTCTTCCCTTAATCTCATTCTATATTAATGTTGGAGGGTGGCTAAGTGACGATTAGTTAACGTTCCGACATTGATTATTACTAGAAACGATCAACGAACCGATGGTTAAACGTTGATGGTTTCACAAGTAAGTAACTTCGGTTTATTAATGCACGGTCGTGGTTAATAAACTTAAGAGAGATTAATTTTGTTGGTTAAACCGAAACCGTTGTGTTGAGGTTATCAATCTTAATTGATTTCATCAAGGAGTTAAAGAGGTTAAATGCTACTATTATATCGGTGATGTGTGTTTTCTCGCACTTAAAATAGATTGTAATATAGTGGTGTAAGTACGAGTATCGTCTCCACAGGGACGGACAAAAGGGAATTAAGAATTAACTAAATTCAGCGATTAAAAAGAAAATAAAATAATGCGAATAAAACGATTAAACTAGGGGGTTCTTTCTAATTAATGACGAAGGGAACAAGGATCAATTCCGGGGTAACCAGATTTCTGGCATATCAGGCCTAATTACATGAAATTAATTTAATTGAGCCTAGCTAATCATTACTAAGTTCTTACCGCTCTCGCGGCGTAGAATACAATAATTTAGGGGATCAGGCTGATCTCTCATGCGACAGGATCTTAAATTATTGCCAAGACGAGCGAGCTTACGGCCCCTTAATCGCTACTAATCTCTTAGCGAACGATTAAGTGTGTGTGAATGTGTCCTAGAACAAATTAGATCTCTCTTAATTTATTCTACATGCAATTGTAATTCTAGTCGCGATTCTAGGTTACAAAAGATATCAATTAAATTATTCAAACACAAATTAAACGGCATTCATGCAATTAAATCGAAAAGAATCTAGCCAAACATCATGATTAACCCCTTCATCAATCCCAAATCCCTAATTAAAACTACTCAAAAGATTGATGAACAAGGCTGAAAACCCCTCTAAATTTCGTGCTAGGCACTCTCTCTAAGCTCCCCCTTGAAAACGGGGGTTTACAGGCTGTTTAAATAGAAAAATCGGGTGAAATTTGAGCTGAATTAGGATTCTCGGAGGCAGACACGATGCCAGGCACGATCATGCCTTCGATCGTGCCTCCAGAGCAAAAACGCGCATTTTGGGCAGGCACGATCGTGCCTCCCTCCAGGCACGATCGTGCCTGGCTGGCAGTAGCTTCGCGGTGCTTTTCTCTTCAGGCACGATCGTGTCTGACTTTGAGGGCACGATCGTGCCTACTTAACTTCCGAATTTGACAAAACTTCCTTCATGAAAGTTGTAGATAATGAAGTCCTCTATCCACTCCAATTTGCCAAATGTGATTTGAATCATCCAATCAATACATATGATCAAAACGGTGGAAGGTGTCTTTCTGAAATCGCAGCAGAGATCATCTGACTTCATCGTCTGTTTTCACCTTCTTCCTCTCAGATTCTCGCAAAGATGTCTCCATATGATTTGTAGCCCTTGAAGTTGTATTTCCTATGTAACTTGAATCGTGTACATCGGATGTTTCTACAAAGAGATATGCTTGAACGATTGACAGAAGGTCATCCTGATCGCCGTTTTCAAGCTTCATTCATCTTCTTTTGATCCCGAAGCCAATCCTAGAGCTCTTTTTTCTTCAAATCTTCATCGTGAATCTTCCGGTGTCCTCCAAAGCTATCAAATCATTCTCAAATTCTTCTCAAATCATCCCGATTGTTCCTCAAGTGCCGGTGCCGGGCTCAAATTCCCTGATTTTGACTACAAACAACACAAAACTCGAACCAACGCCCGGTAAACATAACTTGAGCTAAAATTAAGACTTGTAACTCCATAAAACTAGGAAAATCAACACAAGCCGATCTCAACACG